GCTTTGCTCGCTTTGCTCACCGCAGTGATTACGACGGTAGTCCCCATAAGCCATGCTCTTCTCTTTCGGCGTTGAAGAAATGGACGCGACCGCATAATCTTGGGCAGCCTTTTTTACTTATTTTTATATTTGCAAAAAAGCTCGTGCAAAAAAAAAAAAAGAAGAAAAGAAAACGGCTTCCACGTTTTTACACGTCCCTACATAGGTACCTCGCTATCCCATTGGCTTCATTGCGCGTGACGATTCAACACTCTTTGCCATGGAAACGTTCGTGTAACTAGAAAGCCTCTGTTTGCCGCTAACAGTCATTTTTCGAGTTCGGGTTGTGACGACAAAATGACGTAAGAACAAGAATGCACGGGACTATTTGCATTGTTTTAACTCGACAACCGTACCCTTGGCGAGTTAAACTCGAAAGAACATGGCCACGATGCTCGTCGGACCGACCGCGGCTGGGGTTTGACATGCGATCGGTCACTGGGTCAACGCGCACACGAATGCTTTCGTGCTGTTGGATGAGCCCATTCGGCGGCAGGACCGGGTCGAAGAGCACAGTGAGCTGGCGTTTAACGTCTCCGATATAACACTTGGCGAGATGCAAGTTGTCTTCTATTGGTGCCGGTGTTATGAAGCCTGAAAGTGGTGGTGGTGCTGTGGCTCGTACGGTAGCCTTGCTGAGATTATGAAGACAGTAATATACCTTCATTCAGCGTTGCCATGCATCAAGATTCAAAACCTCCCTTTTACACAAAGGAAACCACGTTTCCGCGAGCACGGAGGAAGCAGCCAACGGTCTGAGAAAGAATTGTGCCGCCGCCACGACCGCCAGCGATCGCCCCAACGGCAAGAAAAAAAACCACAAGCTTATTGAGGTTTGTGTAGTGCTTAATGCAGATTCATCGGACGACAAAGGTGAATGATGTAAAACGCAACGTAAGTTTGCCAGCGGTTTGCAAAACTAATGCGTTTCGTTGAAAATTTTAATTTGTGGAATTCGTTAATGCCTTGAACGTTTGACGGGGACTGCATTGTGAACGCAGGCTTCACACAAGTGTTTTCTACAGTGTGTGCTTTGCCTGCACGCATATAAAGACAGAAACACTGCCTATATGGTGCATAAAATAAAGAAAAATTTCGCTTATCTTGATAATGTTGACTATCAATTGAGTGCTGTTGATAGTAGTGGCGTAGCCAGGAACTTTTAAGGGGGTGAGGGTGGAGGGGGTTTGAGGTGGCTGGGTTGTTCATGACTTGGGGAGCGGGGGGGGGGGGGGGTTGTCGAAATTTGTGTGTATATTCTAGGGCCCGCCGGATTTGGGGAGGGGGGGGAGCGAAGATAAGCCCCCCTCCCCCCTGGCTTTGCCACTGGATGATACCATAAGGGGAGCATCCTACAGTCACAGGCTGCCATAAGCATGTGCAGAGCCACTGAACTCGTATACCACAATGGCAAGATAGTTGCTGACATTTTTCACGTTACGTAGCGGTTCTTTCTTTAGTACATATGCTCGCTTTTCCTTCACGCATCTACTCTGCTTCAACAGCGCGTATTTGCTCTGCATTACAGGCAAATTTTTAAAAAAATTCAGCTCACACTAATCTATAATTTCAACGAGTTACTGTCACTTTTGAAACGACAATCTTTTTAATTTCTATGATAACCTTTACATTAAACACACGGGTGTTGAATGGAGGGCAATTGTATCTTTATTATTTTTCTTGGTCATGGAGATGACGACCATCCACAAGATTGCACTGGCTAAATTTCTCGCCTACAGTGGGTAACAATGTTACCATGCTCCGTCAGACTAAACTCCTGCTGTCTAAACAACTAACGATTCATTTTAGGACACACTGTTCGTAGTTCATTGCAGGGCATCGAAAAGTGTTTCTTAGGACTGTCCGATGACTGACATGCAATTGCAGAAGCTTGGCGTGAAAAGGTAAAATATCTAGTTGATACAATAAAGCGCCATCAGCAACCCATTCAGATTTTATTGCGTGATTGACAGTAGCTACAAACCGCAACAAATGGTCAACTGAAGACATAGGTACTAAGCGTGCACTAACTTCGAAGCGGTAGAAACCCTGAAATTTTAACGTAAACTTACCACCAAGTTGTTAATGACAGAGTGGTGTTTGCGGAAAAGTGTTGGAGTCCTTCAGAACGGTGACGATCTCCTTCAGACCGATGATGATGGTGACGAAGGTTCTGTTAGATTCTAGGTTCCGTCAACGCACCCCACGACGTCGAGTGCTTGTCGTGGTGGTGACAAAAGTCTTCTTTTGCACATGCCTCAGCTGCCTCGGTTCGGGGTTTCGTCGACCCAGCCGTCTCTTCCCAGCCGGTTGACAGCGACACTCGCGACGGCCGTCACGGCTCTGATCACCATCCACTGGGCATTAGCTATGTGATCATCGGTGGCAACCGCGCTCTTGTAGTTGCCCGCTGCGAAAAATCTCAGTGCGATTCAATTAGTCTGCTGCTGCTCGACGATCATCATCTCTCATCGTCGCCGTCTCTCGTCGCGCAGCTGGTCACACTGCGATCACACGGTGCTTTTCGACAAGCGGTATTGTCGTCAGAAACAGTCGTCGTGCATCGCGAAGGCTACCGGGTGCTCGCGGAAAACCCGTCCTTCTACGCGTTAATCGAGCCATCGTTGCGCAACAAGCATCGCCGCCATTTTCTACGCTCTAGAATCCTGCCCAAAGCTTGTTCCCCTTCGTGCAATAGAAACAGAAGTTAAAAGCACGAGCACATCACCCCAAACGATGCTTGCACGAACGTTGGTTTGCACTGCGCAAGCGCGCCTGCTCGACAGGGACGTTGAAAGCCCGGAGCACGTTCTTGTAGCTCCTACGCCCGCACTAGCTCGCACTCATAGTGAAACAGAGAGTAGGGTGTGTCGAGTAATACCGCAGTTAATCTAGTTACGCGACTTCCGCTATGTGCTACGTAGGTCGGACGTGGTCGTACGTTACTTTGTCGTCACGGTCCGAGCTCGAAGAGTGACAGTTACGGCAAACAGTTGCTTTCGTGTTTCGCGAACGTTCCCATGGGAACCGCATGGAATTATCACGCGGGCTGTGGCCAATAGGAGCGCGCGGTTCGTAGGGGGGAGGAGTTTTCGAGAAACACGAACGTGACCGTTTGTGACCAGGATAGCACCCCAGCAGGCACGGCTGTTGAAGTCGCCAAGTTTTTCATTGAGTCCATTGTCCTCCGGCACGGCGCCCCTGAAGTCCTCATCACAGACCGTGGATCTTCGTTCATGACCCAGCTGACGCAAGAGAACCTTCGTCTCAGTGGCACCGGCCATCGTCGAACCACTGCATACCACCCACAGACCAACGGGCTGACCGAGCGACTCAACAAGACAATCGCCGATATGATCTCTATGTACGTCGACGTAGAACACAAGACGTGGGACGAGGTGTTGCCCCACGTCACGTTCGCCTACAATACGGCGGTTCAGGAGACCACTGGATTCACCCCTTTCCAGCTGGTACATGGTCGGAAGGTCACGACCATGCTGGACGCAATGCTGCCCCATGAGCCATCTATAAATGAGAGCGACGACGCCCAGGCGGTTGCTCAACGCGCCGAAGAAGCCCGCCAGCTCGCCCGACTCAGGATTCAAGACCAGCAACGCGTCGACGCGGGCCGCTACAACCTTCGTCGCAGGGACGTTCACTTCCAGCCCGGAGACAGGGTGTGGGTGTGGATGCCCATCCGTCGCCGCGGCCTCAGTGAGAATCTGCTGAAACGGTACTTTGGACCATACAAGGTACTTCGTCGCCTCGGCGAGCTGAACTACGAGGTGATGCCTGACGGAACAAGAACATCATCACGCCGCCCACCACGACCTGAAGTCGTCCACATTTGTGCGCCTGAAGCCTTACTACGCTCGATAGGACTGTGGATCTTATGTGTTTCAAATGACTCTTTAGTTTGCCGTTCTCTTTATGTGCTTTGTTTTGTGTTGCATCGAGGCGATACACTTTTTAAGGGGGGAGTAATGCCGCGCGCCAAGTAGGCACCGCGGCCGTAGCACGACGGTTATCGCGCTTACCTCCCACGCGAAGGGCCAGGGTTCGATTCCTGGCCGCGGCTACGCATTTTTGTTTACACTGTAATGTGATGTTCTAGTGAATTCGAGAACCGTCTAGCTGATTCGAGGTTAGAATGTTCTCCGCGTCGAACCTTCTACATCGAACGCTCCAGAAGCCAACGCGTGTAGAAAAGCGGCTCCGCCTGGCAAGCAGAATTCAGTCTCGCCCCAGCGTTCGACTCTGCTGCCACGCCGACTTCGACGCCCGCGACGCTCTATTATTATCTTTTGTACTCTTTTATTTTTGGCACAAGTTCGCTACATTAAACGTTTATTTCTTCCTGTTTATTTGTTATTTTTGTTCACTACCCGTGACAATATTTTGCATCCGCTTTAGGCATTCTTCGGTTCTGGTTCTCCTACGGGCTGCGAGTAGGTACCGTAAGCAGGAGTCTTTTTGTTTATTTCTGTGTGTGTGTGCGTGAGGGGCCTAGTTTGAACGAAGGACTTACAAAGTTACATTATGTTCCCTCACACTTTGCCCTGAACGGTCTTTGTGACACACTGGGGCCTCCCTGGTCCTTCCCATTCCCAGTTCATGCTCGAAAAAAAAAAAAAAAAGACGGACATTCCTCAGAAACCGTACACACAAAGGGGTTGACCTCGTTTCCTACAGCTCCGCAAGAATCTTGCTTTTTCCGTTCGAAAAAAGTATCAAATTTTACTTTTGACATTTCATAAAAAAATGTGTGTGCGTGGGGGGGGGGGGGGGGGCGTGGAAGAATAGTAACGGTTCAATGTAATTTTTATTACTTCAAACAGTAATCAAATTACTCCTGTGATTACTGCCTAATAAAAGTAATCAACTGATTACAAAATTACTCCAAAAAGTAATCGATTACAAGTAATTTGATTACTTGTAATGCGTACGGTACAAGTCCTGACCCAGTAGGACCTTGGTGTGTCTCCGGGGCGAAGGGTGGCACCCGTAGCACCTGTGTCTCTCAGTTATACTTGGTTGCCTGCAGAAGGACTACGCAAAGGGCTGGCCGCGTGACGCTTGTCAAAATACTTTTTCTGTTTCTGCCTATATTCCTCATCTCTCTTCTTCCAAGAAGAGCTTACCGTGCGAGGTTTGAGTAAAGATGAAGCGCAAGGCACTCTTGAGCGAAGTCGTCGGCTCATAAAAAGTTGTGCTGGATTAAAACCTGTAGGCCCAGGGGTCTTCCTGTCGTTCAGCAGCGCAAGGTAAGAGTCTTCTGCTTTCTTCAAGAGCAGTTTTAGAGTCCTTACCGTATGTTCAGCCTCACCGTTTGCTTGCGGGTAGCGATGGCTGGTTTTCATTTGCTTGAACCCGTACGTCCTCGCAAAGTCTTGAAACGAACACGATGCAAACTGGGGCCCGTTGTCCGAAACCACGGTCTTCGGAATCCCGTGTCGGGCGAAGATACCTTTCAGGCGTTGAATGACGGCCACAGATGACGTGCCTCTGTCCAGCAACGCCATTTCTGGGTATCTGGAGTGAAAATCAACAACAAAAACGTACACTGCTTCTTTTAGTTCAAATAAATCAACTCCTAGTTTCTCCCATGGTAGTTCTGGTGTTTCGAATGGGATCATCGGTTCTGAGAATTGCACGCGTTCAGTGGCGCATTCTCGGCATTCGGACACAACTCTAGCTGTATCTTTGCTGAGACTCGGCCACCAAACAAATTCTTTGGCTTTTTCTCGGCAGCGAACGAAGCCTTGATGGCCTTCATCGAGCCTTTGAAACATTTCCCTCCGTAGACTCCTTGGAATGACAAGTCTGGTGTCCTTTAGGAGCAAGTCGTTGCAAACAGTAACGTTGCCACGCTGTGCCCAGTACTGCCCGAGAACTAGTGGTAGCTTGTATTTGTCTGGCCACCGTTGACGGCAGGCTTGAAGCAGCAATGAGCATTCCTGGTCATTCGTCTGCTCCACGCGTATTCCGTCTATCAGACTGTCGGATGCTGGCAGTCCCCGGATGACTGCGTCAGTGTGTGCCGAGAAGTCCCCCTCCAAGAGCATTTCCTGTGACGGTGGGAAACTGTTGCTTCTTGCTCGTGACAGTGTGTCTGCCGTGGCAATGGCTTTACCCGAAACGTACGTGAAGGTGAAGGAGTACCTTATCAGGCGCCTTCGGAACCTTTGAATTCTGGGGGGTAGGGAGTCCAATGGGTCGCGGCCCAGCAACGGAAATAGGGGTTTATGATCAGTCTTGGAACAAAAACGTGAGACCTCGCAGAAACTCGTCAAAGCGTTCTGCAGCTCATGTTAGATCAAGGGCTTCCTTCTTTATCTGAGAGTACCTCTGTTCCGTCTTTTCAGTGGCCTGGAGGCGTATGCAACAGGACGTCGCTCCTCCGATGGCTGATCTTGGAGCAGCACGGCGCCGAGGCCGTGCGACGAGGTGTCTGCAGGGACAATTGTTGGGTAGCTTGGATTGCACCGCGTGAGGCACCTTTCCGAGCTTAAGGTGTCATTCATTTTGGCGAATGCTTGTTCTTGCTGAGGACTCCATGACCAGTCGTTATCCTTGCATAGAGGGTTGCGAAGAGGCGCTCTGGTAGATGCTACATCTGGGAGGAATCTTGCAAGGTGGTTAATCATGCCCAGAAGAGAACGAACTTCGACGGCATTTTGAGGGTGGGGGAGCTCTTTGATGGCCCGAACTTTCTCGGGATCAGGTCTCACTCCACTGGCGTCGAAGACCATTCCAAGGAACGACACTCTCCCGACAGAGAAGCAGCGTTTTCTTTGTTTAGCGTCGCGTCCTTCTGCTGTAGCCTCTCCAGTACCTTGTGCAGACGACTGTCGTATCCAGTCTTGTTCGCTCCGTACACTAATACATTATCCATGTAGTTCAGTACGCCTTCTAAGCCTTCCAAGACTTGCGTGAAGTTTTTTGCAAAAATTTCTGGTGCTGAAGTCACGCCGAAAGGTAGTCTTCGGTAGCAATACCTTCCATACGGCGTTATGAAAGTGGTAAGCTCTTGACATGATTTTCGAAAGGTGAATCTGGTAGAATCCGGAACTGGCATCCAGTTCGGAAAAGATACGGGCTTCTTGGATGCTGCCCATGATTTATTCTACCGCTGGAAGCTGGTGACTTTTCCGCCGTACAAACTTGTTTAGGTGGGTCAGGTCGACACAGGTTCTGATGTCACCGGAAGGCTTCTGTACTGGCACGATTGGGGCGCACCACTCTGTTGGTTCTTCAACCTTTCGAAACATTCCTTCAAGCTCTAGCTTGTCTAGCTCTCTCTTTACTGCTTCTTTCACGGGAATCCGACGAGGAGTAGACACCGCATACGGGACGGCATCCGGTACTAAGCGGCTTGTGCGTTCACCGGCCAGGGATCCCGTACCTTTGAACAGTTTGTGATACTTCGCTTCGACGTTTTCGACTCTCTCTTTTTCGTCCGAGAATCGAACGATGCCCAAGGCATTGACCGCTAGGAACCCAAGAATCCGTTCGCAGATTGCAGACGACGTAGATAGTCTGTCGTGAGTAGTTATCATTCCAGGTGACGTTCGAGTGGTACTTGGCAGCAGTGCAAATTCTTGCATTGCTCGGCCCTCGAAGACCTTCTGCTTCGTCTAGAGAGCGTGGAACGCCTGGAAACTTATCGCTGGCTACAGCCACTTCAGCTTCCGTATCAACGTTCATTCGAAGTTCCTGACCATTTATCTGCACAGTCCCGAAGAGCGCAGATAAAGTGTTCTTCGACTACTCGAGCGTGCCCAAGAAATGCTAGTTATCTGGTGCGGCAATGACGTCGAGTTTCTTGCCGTCGCGTTTTTTGATGCTGCATGCTTTTTCGAAATGTCCTAACTTTTGACAAAAGCGGCATTTTTCTCGTTTAACCGGACAACTTGTCCTGGGATGTAGAGGACCAGCGCAATAGCTGCACTTCTTGCTGTTTGCAGTCCTTTGACTGGTTGAGGCTTCGCTCTTTCTGGCGGTGTTTTCCTGTTTCACGGCCGAAACGCACGCTTCAGGGCTTGCGGACTCTTGCCCTGCTAGTTCGGCTTGTTGTTTCTTTACTGTTTCGCTTGTCCGAGTTTTCGATAAAGCTATCTGCAACGTCAGCTTTGGATTCATTTGAAGCACCTCTGAGCGAGTTTGGTCCAAAAGACCGACTACGAATTGATCTCTGATAAGACGTTCTTTCATGTCCTTAAACTTCCAGCGCTCTGCTAGCCTGTGTAGCACGGTCGCAAATTGTTCTACCGTTTCTCCCAGTTGCTGTCGGCGTTGGTTGAAACGAGCGCTCACGTACACAACGTTCTTGGTGTGAACGAGGTATCCGTCTAACCTTGACTTTATCAGGTCGAACTTCTTGAATTCTTTGTCTTTTACGCATACCGAACGCAGAATTTCTAACGACTTCCAGCCCATCGTATAAAGAAGAGTTCTTTCTTGAACCAGCTCAGGTTTCTCGTGCAGGCCCGATGCAATTCTGTAGTCGTCGAACTCGTCTATCCAGGCGGGCCAGTCAGCGGCGTTGTGGAAGTCGAACGGCTTCGGAGGCTTGAGTCCTGCCACGTCGACGTGGCGCCGGCTGCTGCTGTGGTGGCGAGGTCGACGCTGCTTCCGTTGTTGCTTAATGGTACGTTTACACTTGCGGATCCGCCAGCGGATCTGCCCAGCTTTTGCCGCTGGGGCGAAACGCTGGGCGGAAAACGCGGCGGCGAGCCGTTTAGGTCCGGGATCCATTTCTGCCGCCGAACGAGGCGTTTCGCTGACCCGATGTGAAATTCTTGCGCAGCGCGACGCTGCCTACGTCATGAGTACGCGTTCTTCCGGGAGCAGCAACGCCCGGGAGCCCCGGGAGAGACAGCCGAGATGGGAACTCTCGCGCCTTCTCGGCATATTTGACGGGATGTTACGAGAACAGCTGCCGCAGCCGGCGCCACCGCCGCCGCTCGAAGAGAATAGATGTAAACGCAACCCGCAACCCTCTCGTCGCCGCCGTCGCCAGGAGCGGATCCGCTCGCGCGGCAGCGGATTTCTTCTCAGGTGTAAACGTACCATAAGGGCTCGTACTCGTCGTTAGCGGCATTCCGTCGGAGCCGGTCGGAATCCGCCCACCTCTGACACCATGCCAGACAAGCCGTCGTGGGAGAGCAAAGAGCAGTCTTGTTTATTCAAATACCCGTGAATATATACAGATGAATCGGGTCATGTGACATGTGATAACAGTTGGCAAGGAATTGGCCCGTCGGCGCGTCGGCGCGTTATCAGGAGGACATCACAAAAACGACAGCCAAATATTTTAAGGACTGCTTCTCGCGCGGCGTATAAACATTGCGCAAAACTTCTTTATTCTTTCTTTCTTGAGGTGAAAAAGAGTATAGTAGGCGCGAAGGCCTTTCATATTGAAAACGTATAAGCGTGGCGGCATTTAAAAAAAATGATGCAATGCACCAAAATGTATGGATGATAGATACGATAGACAGTTATGATAGATATCATCAAATCTATCACAATTTTTCGTTACGTGAAGAGCTACTAATACCTCCCTTCCACGTATCAACGCGTCTTGATCACCAGGACAAGATAGGCACACCATCGCATTGTGTAAAACTACAACTTTTCACAGTTCATCCATACCCCGAACCACGCTTTCATGGAACCACCAGCTTCCAGCGTCTGTGGTAAATTTGTATGATAGCTCGGCCCTTAAAACTGCCTTAGCAATGTCACTATTTTAGTATTTTTTGACAGCTCAATATTCACAGTGGACCTATTTTTATATACTTTTAACCTTCATAAAACATTCCAGCGTCACAGCCGAGTGTTACAACAGAACATTACAACCGAGCTCTGCCATTTCTCACAGAAATCAGCGTATAAACACATTCTGTGCTAAGAGCGCGCACAAAAAATCAACGTCAAGAGGCACATTAGTCACGATTCACCACCTGTCTGTTAACCTTTTCTTTCCCACAGGGACATAAATGGCCGTCTGGCGGACGCCGCGTTCCTTGTTATTTTGATAAGCCTTTTGCTTGCTGTGCATGGTGCTTTATCTTCACCCTTTCCAATGCTACGTATGCTTTCAAGCTAGAAAGACAATGACAATACGCACAGTGCTGAGGTAGGTGCCTCCAGGACGTTCATCGCTAAGTCAATCATGCTTAGCCGCAGGTCAATGGGATCTTGTGATCTACCTCTTTACGATACCTACGCATTTGTGCTTGTGTTTCACAACACAAATGTGCTTATCCCCTCTGTTTGTTGAGTCGGGGACACAGTTACAGACCCTTTACTAAAGTTATTTTCACTTCAAGTCAGGGAACTGTCAAAACCAAGAAGTCACCCAAACGCACAACGAATAAAGACTGTGAAACTAAAGTCGCGGCGCGCACTCTGCGGGTACAGATTTAAGAGCGGAGGGGCGAAACGGGGGGGGGGGGGGGGGGGGGGGGGGGGATAGCGACTGCCGCCCCTTACGCCTTATAAGCAGTGTTGGAGAAAATACTCGATAAAAGTATTTAAGTTAAGTTACTAAATACCTGCTTTATAAAGTATTTAAAATACTACTCAAGTTACTATCACTGTAAAGTATCTTGAGTAGAGTAAAAATACTTAGAAATGTAATTCAGTTACTTTTGAAGATACTTCCTCATCGCTTAATTTGTATCGACGTCATTGACAACGACAATTATACAGCTGCACAAATCTGGTTTACTGGAATGGTTTACTAGCACGCAACAACACAAAACGGAAAAAAAAAAACATCCTACGCTTATTTTATGCAGTCATATTATAAGGAGCAGGATATTGTGACGAATGGAAAATTATGAGGCGGCGAATAACTGTAGGAACTAAACGTTTAATGGGGCGAACTTGTGCCAAAACAAAAAAAAAAGAGAAAGACTAGCGTCGCAGGCGTCGATGTCGGGGAAACAGCAGGATCGAGCGCAAGGGCGAGACTAACTCTGAACCGCCACACGGAGCACCTTTTGCACTCGCGTGGATTTCTGAAACATTCGGCGTAGAACGTTCGGCGCGTAGAACATTCGTAACTCGATCAGACGACAAGGTTTTCAACTTGCGAGAATTTCAAGTTGAAAGAATAAATAAAAAGAGGAGTCCGCTCCCTGGAATCGAACCCGGAGCCTCCGCACGAGAGCCAAGCGCGGCAACCATTCGGACACGCATTCGCTCTGCAACGCGCGTGGCAATATCAGTGATAATGTTACAAAACATCTCTATGACAAAAAGAAAGGTCGCTTTGGGGAGGATATCAGACCGTGGCGCCTCAAGCAATTAACTTTAGAACTACACGGATGAAAACAACAAAAACAATGACTCGGCGCTCGGCTGACATGACCGAATGCGGCGTCAGCGTTCGGCTATGGTTCGTGTTCTCCGGTGAGGGGGAGGAGGGGCTTTTTTGTTACCACTCCGACTTGCATGAACAATACAGCATGCACGGTCCTCAGCTAAGCCCAAAAGCCGAAGTGGGTCAAGCTCGCATCCTCTGACGACTGCTTTCGGGAGAGATCCGGCAGTTAACGTCATGGACATTCCCACAAGGCTTGTAAGCACGTGCACAGGCCTCTTGTTGGGTAAACACCGAGGTGTGGGGACAACAAACGGGACAGAGCGCCTCGCCGATAGTGACATCGCTGAATATCACGTCCTACGGCGCACCTTAGACGCATCGTTTAACTACAATCCATGTTCCCTAAGTTCACTATAAACGAACTTGGGATACGGATATGAGTGAATGGATAACAAAAACAACCTACATAATAGCCACGGCAGTGGTCGCACCTTCAACTAGGTTGCGTTCAGAAACGCACTCAACATTGGGGCATGCTTTGTTGACATTTTGAGTGGTCATCCAGCTCTTAGTTCATTTCCTGTCCTGTTCTTTGCTTAACAATGGTCGTTTAGAGACAGTGCTCGCGATAACAATAAGTGCCGGACTAGCAACGCAAAAAAAGAAGAAAAAAAATCTCCACGTTGTCAAATATACAAGCGAAAACAAATTTTCGTTTTTGTGTCCACTTTTCATTTTCTTCTATTTGCTTTTTTTTTTTTTTTTTTTAATCTCAAGTCTGCATTGTTGTCGTAGGTCGTTTCCCGGTCTGCGTTGAGCCTCAGTGTGGCAATCTTTACTTCCGTAAAACCACCCCTTTTGTTTCAGGATTTTTGGGGGGAAACTCTGAAATACGAATCAAAATCGGCAAAAAGCGATGTTTTCACGAGCTTACTCGAAGTCACCGTAGCTAATCGAAGCTAGCACCAGGATTTGGTTGCTCGAGAGAATGTTCACGTTTGCTCGTGCCACACCCACGCCACTTAATACCGAAAAACTCGGAAAATGGCGGAATGTCAAAAATGTATTTGAGATATTGAGTACAAGATACTCAGAAATGTAATTAAGATAGAGTATTAAATACTCTAGATTAAAAGTATTTTCAAGATACCAAGATACTTCAAAAAGTATTTAAAAACACAGTATCTTGAGCAGAGTATTTGAGATAGACACAAGTGTGCCTCTAAGGACTAACCTTATATCGAAAAAATCCCATTTACTAGCATTTCTAGGGAGAAATGCCTACTGTTTAACATAAAGTTGGACAATGCCTCGCCTGTGACGTCACATACGTCCATGACGTCAGATATTTTAATAGGAAGGAAACAGAGGAAAGGGATAGGAAGAAAGAATGTGTGCGGTCACGTGAAATATATTTCGCCGCTAAATTCAGCGGAAAAGCTTAGTCGGATCGAGTCCACGTGATGTCAATTCCACAGTACATACAGCGGAAAAACTAAAGTGGTGTATATGTAATAGGCAGTAATTTCTTCCGATAAGTTTTGTGGGGAAATTGAATAGGCCCGTGGGTGACATGACATCAAATTTCCCGCCACATTTGGAGGAGGAACTGAATTGAATCTAGATACTGTGATGTCTATTTTTTCGCTATATTTAGCGGGAAAACTGGGTTAATGTATAGGTCTCGTGCCGGCACTTTTTTTCGATAAATTTAGTGGGGAATTTGAATTTGCGTGGTACGTGACGTAACTTTCATTTTCCTGCTAGTTTTCGCGAGGAAACTGAATTGACGGTTAGGTCACGTGAATTTTTTCCGCTACATTTAGCGAGGAAACTAATTCACATGTAGGTTACGTGTTGTCCCTTTCCCCACTTTTGTACGTATACGTCACATGACCTTGATCTCCCCGCTTAATTTAGCCGAAAATGCTCGGCCGAACGGACGGTCGAACAGACGGACAGACGGACACAATTTTGAGTTTGGGGGACTCAGTTAAGAAGCATTTCGTTATTCAAAAGTAATTAGGAAAAAATAGAAGAAGCAAACACACAAGAAATTTATGGCAAATTGCTAGGCAAATATGTTGCGTACGTAACACAATCCAACATCACAAATGTTTAGCGATACTGTGGTTTCACGCAAGCAGGGCAGATAAATATGCCGATCTTCCAGAGCCTTTTATATCTCTCGAGCTCCTTTCCTTCGGTCCGTACAAGTGGTCGAGCTCCTCCTCGCCTACCCTATGGTCACATAACTTCTCCACGTTGACCAATCAGCATCGAGCTTCGCGATCACGCTTATTGGGCTTCACTTATCAGGTTTTACTTATCAGGCTCCACGAAAAGAAGCGCACCTCTTTAAGGAAAGTTTCACGTTAAAAAGCAAAAACAGGCAAACAGAAATGCGCATGCGTTTCGAATTATATGACGGAATTTTCCGGAATGGGGGGGGGGGGGGGGGGGGGGGGGCATTCCGAAGAATGCTATCGTATTTAGAAGTCCAAGGTAGGCGCATATATGTTTTGAAATGCAAGCGAACGTGGGAAAAACTGGCAGGAGTGTCAGTGAAAGAGCTCTCGGGATCGAGAGCTCAAGCTCGAGAGCTCAATAAACAGGCAGAGAAAAAATGAAAAACATCAAAATGCATATTAATCGCGATTCACCACTCTTTAATGAACCCTATCTTTCTCCCTGACAGATAAATGGACGTCTGACTGACTCAACCATCTGTGCACTTCTTGTTAGTTTCATTAGCCTTTTGCTTTCTATGGCAATTCCAATGGTGTTTTATCTTTAGCCTTCCCAATGTTATGTATGCTTTCAAAGTAA